CACACACCTCCTGTATACTTCTAATAATCTATAGGTTACTTACAGTGCCTAACACACTGGGAATGTCATGGAAGTACAACAGTGATTACTACATACTTATATTTGTATTATTTTTTAGTATTGCTATTTGACCTTGAATTTCAGCCTTCAAAAATAAATTTTTTTTAAAGATTTCTTGCCTTTAATCCCAGCACTCGGGAGGCAGAGGCAGGCAGATTTCTGTGAGTTCGAGGTCAGCCTGGTCTCCAGAGAGAGTGCCAGGATAGGCTCCAAAACTACACAGAGAAATCCTGTCTTGAAAAAACAAAACAATAAAAAAGATTTCTTAAAATTTATTTTGTGTGTATGAGTGTTTTGCCTGCCTGCATGCATGTGTGCCATGTTCATGTCTGGTGAAATCAGAAGAGGTGACAGATCCTTGCAATTGTAGTTATAGATGGTTGTGAACCACTGTGAGGGTGCTGAGAACTGAATGCTGGTTTTATTCATAAGTAATAAGTGTTCTTGCCCACTGAGCCATCTGTCCAGACCTGCAAAATTAATTTTTGCTGCATAGTACCATCTAGTCTGTATTAATTGTGATGGCAGCCTGAGCAGGCTAACATGTTATGAAAAGAAGCAGATCTTATAATTACTTAATTGGATGTAAACACACAAAGATAAGAAAACTGTTGATTTACCAGCCGTCTAACCACAGTCAACATCTTCATATTTTTTGATAATCTTCTGTGAAGAGGTAGGAATGACACTGGTATGTACCTCAAGGTCTACATGGTACCTAGTAAGGTTCTTAAGCAACCATATTGAGAGTTAGCTGCCCAGTTGCTACCCAGATGTGATGGTGAGGCCACAAAGCCATGACACCATGAATTATTCTTTATTCATCTCCCACATATGGGGTGCCTGCTCCTCACAGGTTGCTCATTCAGAAGGTACTGGTTAGTCATGTAATGTTTAACATATAGATCCCAGGTAAGGATGCTTAGAGAGGCAACTGGTGGAGACTTGGAAAGGCGGGAGACAGGTTTTGCCCTG